AAATAAAAAAAAAAAAAAAATGAGTAGAAGTAATTTCATGAGTGTTGCGAGATAAAAATGAAGATCAACTGAAGGCAAGAGAATAAAACATTATAGTCGCTACTTTCCTCTGAGACAAGAGTAATAAAACCCAATGTACAGCTCGAGGGAAAGGACGATTGGTCGCCGGATACCCCCGAGAACAATATAAAAGGGCTGTTTGGCAAAAATAGAGAGTTCGCTACGGTTTGTCCAACAAAGAACCGTTTGCTTCCAGACTTACGATTTAGCAAACTAACTGTGTAAACGGTTTCAACTCTTTTCGACGTCAAATAAATTTATCGCGTTTCGTTCTTTGTGAAATAAAACTTTATTCATTAACAACCCTTTCATTACTGACAAGATTTTAAATCTGTTCTCCGTTTTATACAAAGAGTTATAATAGTATAGGAAATTCAGTAAAAGTAAAATACAACTTTACATTTTATTATAATTAATATCATCTCCACGTCCCTGATATTTTCTATAATAATTACTGAAATGTTTTCATTAAATCTTAAGTTTTTTACAAAATTGTTAAATACTTCTATGTAAATCAATATCAACCCCTTCCTGTTACCAGAACCATTTCAACGTCTGGTCGTCCCTGATATACGAAGCGTGCAACTAATTTGCAAAACGATCCGGCTGGTCACACCCCCGTTCGCATTTCTTTCGTCGCGACACGCGATTAGACTTCTTCCAATGTTTTTCTCCTCCTCGAAAAAAAAATCCTCCCGGCGAGACTCGAGCGTGGGTAATTATTGTTTACACGTTAGATCGCACGCGAGCGATAGAGAGACACGTACGTTGAGGCACACGTGAGTTATGCAAACGCAGACCGGGGCTAAAATAAACAGGCATCCCGGAATATATATTATTGAATCACGTGGTCCGAGTCTTATAAATATTTAACTAGTAACAGGGAGTAATAAACAAACTGTCAGTAATTGGTGATGCTTCGACTCTAAAGTAATCAAATAATTATGAAAAAGAAAAGAAAAAATAATTTTTAAGGAATATTATTATTGTATTAATAATGTAGAATAATAGTTTGAAAGCTATTCGTATTCTTAATCAGCAGAGTTTTATTAGTGTGTCTGACTATACGTGACTACTTTCACTGCGGTGCTAAACGCGAGCGCAAGTAGTACGAGTAAACCATATGTCAGGCGTAGTAGTAAAAGCATCAAACAAACGCTGATTAAAACCACTTGAACAATTCTCCTTCAACCTGTCCAATCCTTCTCTCTTCTAAAATATTTTAAACTGTTTTTTAATCAAAGAATATTAATTTTTAATGCAATTATTATTAAAAAATATTCATAAGGTTCAATAAATTTTAGTCATAGGTAACGTTGATTAATGCTACTTGAATAATTCCCCTTCAACCTATTTAATCTTCTTCTCTTCTAAAATATTGTAAGCTATTTTTTAATCTAAGAATATTAATTTTTAATACAAGTGTTATTAAAAAATATTATTCTTAAATTTCAATGAATTCTCCCCATAGGTAACGTTTCCATAAATCTCGTTTTGTCACATGAATATCTCGGGTAAACCGATTCTCGTTTCACCATGAATAGAAGACAAAGTAATCGAACAGTTTTCCAATTTATCGCGACAGAGAGAGAATCGGCGATGCTCGGGAAGCAGCAGCGAATTCTCGTCTTGTAACAATACATCTTCCCCGGTAGTTGTTCCAGGTTGAAAAATACCCAGGATCCAACTCGATTCACGAAAACGAGATTAATGGTCCTACGAGAATGTTTTCTGTCCTTGAAAGAAGAAGTTTGCGGTTAAGAGTAGAAGGGGAATAGAACGTACGGAACCTCTTGATCAATTCTCGACAAAGCACGGCACGTTGGCAATTACTGCCGCTTCTGCACTCGAATACAATAGTGCCCCGGGCAGATTACATTCTGCTGGGTCAACCCTCTTTCCACTTTGCCGCATTTTATTCACTTTTTTGCGTAAAGTGCACCGGACAACGTAGAACACTCTGTACAGCGTGTACCGTATAGATTTTAATGAAATTCGCAGTGTCTCTCGTCGAAGTAGAAACCACTCTTTGTTAAAATATAGGAAAATACCCAGGTTAGAGGATGTAGAAAGCTTTCGGTGAATTCCATCGAAATTTTCAAAATGGTCGTGGTTATTTCGGCTGAAGAATAGAAATAGAATGGATTTGGACTTTCTATTTAAATTAAGTTTGTTATAAGTCAATGGTCAATAATTCTGAAATATAAGACGATAAACACGGTCTCAATCATAGTTCCAAAACTTTCTTCCTTTCTCCACCTCATCCTGGTGATCGTCGAGAGCCATCCGCAGTTTCTATCACAGACAGAAACGTATGGCAGCGAGCAGCCGTTCCTCGTGATTTACGGCAATTGCCTCGCAAACTCGATTATAATGATCCAGGAACACGGTGTGCCGAATTACACGCGGAACCACGTTGCTGGACTTTCATTAAACGATAATCATCTTCCGCTCGGTTGTCGTAGAACAGCCGGAAAGAGGGAACAATACGGCCTTTCCTGTATTGTCTCCCGCTTGCTGCTTCGCTTTTTTTTATCGCGATTCGAACACGTTTTTCCGTGGACGTTGCTTGGGAAAAAAAGTTGGCGACCTTTCAAGAAAGGGAACCGAGAATGGGATTTGTTTTGGATTTAATTAACGCAAGTAGTACTTTGCGCGGTGGTAGGAAGAGATTCTGAACAGGAGTGATCGGTGGTATTGTTGTTGGCGGAGTTTGAAAGGGAGAATGTAAATTCCAAGATAAGTTTTTTTATTTAAAGTTAGATTTGAAAGTGAAATTTAATTTTATTTGAAATTTAGCTTTACAAAGTTTATTGTAACAATTTGTAATTATCTAATGTTTGATACTTTTATAATTTTTCAACTTCAAAATTAAAAATTTGGCACAATTATAATTATAATTCTGAGAATCTAAGATAACTTTCAACGATTCTGTTGGAAGTTTCTAAAGATTAAACGTTCGATGGAAATCCAGGCGATATCTTCGAAGAAGATGAAGGGACAATGTGCGAAGTGAACCCTTACAGAAGGACGGCAAACTTGATTATTCATCGTATGACTGCCCCGGTGACAATCGCTCTTCTGTTTGCACTTATAATTACTGTTTGCGGAGCATTGTTCTTAAGCCTGGCGCCTGAAATGGCACCCCAGTTGATAAGTTACACGGAATCACCGTTGAAATTCCTCCCTTACTTTCGCAACTGCAATCTGCCGCAGGCTAAAACTCTAATGAAGAAGGTTACGGGGTTACTTTCAAATCCCATGAATTATTACATTATGTTTATAAAAGAAACAAGATCTCGTCGTATTACAAACTCAATTGTTATTTAAAATTCGATCAAAATCAAAATATTTTAGAGTCAGATTTATAAAGAAACTTTCTAACGTTTACACGGTTCATATTTCACCATTATTTAATAATACATTTTTAACTTCATCGTTCAACTTTCGCCCGCGGAAAGCTCCGTTAAACGTTAAGTAAACGAGGTGGAAACAAAGCGGGAGAAAAAGTAACGAAGGATGTAGGATAACGGGATAAGGAAGAGGAGACGCGAAATAATGTCACCCTTTACTGGCACGTTAATAAAGGTGGATGGTTTATCTTTGGTTAAAGCCGTTCGGATGTTTCGATCCGTCGAAGATCATTTTCATAATCGTTTTGAGAGCGCATTAAGAGTTAAAGTAAACTGTAAACTTTAACGAGCAGAGTTTTAAGCCGATTAACATCCTCGAACTTTTCGAATATACACGATCGAGGAGGAGCCTGAGCGCGACGGGACAGTCAACTTACTCGCGGGGTTTCTTTTCACGATCCGATATGTACACAAACGAATCCCCCATGAGACTTATAACGAAAAAACATTTCTTTAAAATTTTAAACGAGAAACCATAGAAATCTCTCGCTGTCAATGATCGAAAGCACAAATCAAAGAGAAAAATGATTCTCCCTCCTCGAGAAGGGTCGACAAAGAGGAGCGATGAACTTTGGCATCGAGTAATTAGCAATTAATCTTCATTAAAGCCTTCCGCGTTCCTGCAGATGGCTTTCGCGATAGAAAACAATTGGACGCTGCCCCTCAGAAGAACGCAGTTAGTTTGAAAGTTTGGAAGGACGAAAAGGAAGCGCGGCGGGGAAGGAAGAGGGTGTTGCCAGGCGTTGGAGGAAATCCCTCGGTCGGTTTGTCTCCCTCGAAAAGCTTAAATCGGCTTCATATCTCAGCCCGTGGAACCCTCTTGTATCTCTAATCAGATCATTAAGCCCGCGGAGCGTGCGCATGAAGAAATTTGTCGAGCAGCACCGTTGGTCCGCGAGCGACACGCGCGAATCAGCTCGCACGCTCCGAAGAAACGGATAATCGAATCACCGCCGAGCCAAGGGTCACGATTTCTTTCCACCGATTTTATCATTCCGCTTGTAATCGTGTTCTCTTGTAGATAAACTTCTATGTACACTCTGAATCGTTAAACAGGGGTTGCTTTCTAAACTGGGGGGATGAAATTTCGTTGGTTTATTCTGCGCTTCTTTTAAACGTACCGTGAAAAGAATTTTATTTTAAAAATGAAAATTAATGAGGCAAGGAATCATTACTACTAATGAATCATGATGTTGATTGCATTTTTATATTTTACTTGTTTTTCTGCTGTCTATTCTACCCATTGCTACCCTGGCACTTGTAAATAATTATCTTTTTTTTTTTCTTCATGAATTTTATTTATTCGATGAGCACTTCAATCCCAACTCGGTCATACTGAATTCTGAAGTATTAATATTTCACGGTAGAATTAACGTGCTAGAAGCTACCCGAACGTGCATAACAACGGTACGAGCAGTTCTCTTAAAGAGATTGAAGCGAATGGTTCACGGGGCTCGTTCAATTCGAATCTTTTTCAACGTGAATTAAAATTGGACTGCTCCTTCAAGTGAATACGATTTGTTTCAGGATGGAGGAGACGTCACGGGGGTTGTTGCAACACAAGCACAGGGCTGAACAGCTGAAGCAAGAGAAAACCGCGCTCACGCTATCTTACGAGGTAAGTCGATCGTTTAAATAGATTTTATTAAACTTTAGATATCTATTTATTCATCTGTAATCGTTTTTAATATTAACGCATAATACTATTTTTAAATGAATTTAGAATTACAATAGGTTTAGTAAATATTTTTTATAGATTTTGTTGTACAATTTCTAGTTAATTTATTTTAATAATGAAAAAGTAACAAAAGAGCTCTTTGAAAATGTGCAACAGGCGATTTTATTACCCAAATTAATATCGGTTACATTCCCATTGAAAACTTGTTAAAACTTCTGATTCAAGAGGAGAGCTCGATTAGCCGATAATTGGTCGTATTTCGTGTCACACCGAAACACCGGTTCCCTTTTTCCACGAACAGAACCAGGATTTCAATTCCACGGAGCGTCGTTCTCCTTAAATTTATACCCATTCGAGTGGTTCATCCGATTTTAGCCTGCCACCCCGAATGAGGACAAAATGAAAGGCGGAACATCCCCCTTGATGTCAGCCCTTGATCGCGTTGTCGATAAGCACGAACAGAGATAACGAAGAGACTGTCGAACTCTTTCGATCGGATAGTCAAGCGTTTATTGTTACTTTCTTCTTTTTTTTTTTGTACACGAAAGCTAGGACACAATGACACTCGGGTGAAAAAGCTCTTTCAGTGCTCTCAGACCTGTTATTGTATTTCAATTCGAGTTGTCGTGGACGATTGTTCTTGGCAGCCACGCAGAATGAGATTTTGCTATTGAACGAGAATTTTCATACACGTAATGCAATTTATTTACCGTACGTTTAATCTACGAAACATCAAGGAAAGAAAACACGAGAAAAATTAATCAGCGTGATAAAAGAAGCCTGTTATCAGTTTTGATGTTTCCATTAATTTTTCAATGCGCTTATAATGCATCATACATTTCTTTTTTTTTCGTATAAATAGAAGCGTCACAAAAGCTTCAAGAAATTCTTCGAATGCCTAGTCGACGTTGTTCATCCCCCGTGCAATAAACCGCCCGATACTTTTGCTACGTATTTGCCGACGACCAATATTCCTGACTTAACGAAGTAACATGGCACGTCGCTGCAGTGAAAGGGAGAACGGTAAACGCGAGCGTTTACTGCGAACCCTTAGAATGTACGCACTATCTCGTTCACGGCCGGTTTCCTTCTAAAAGAGTCGTAGATTCAGAGAGCGGAGGGGTGTGCATCACTGCCCCACGAAATACCGTTTATTATCGATCGTCACTCGATCCCCTGGTTCAATGTCGTGCCACCCCACCGATGCGAGCCCCTGAGAATCCCTCTATCGTCCATGAGGAAGCACGCCTGCAACTGTTCCTCTCTGTAGCCGTTCGATTTTACTTTCCAACCGTCAGCCAAACTTACCCCCTTTCCCTATCGATGCTTGCAGATCCCTCCTATAAAGTTATACTTCGAAACCGTGCCCTATAATTCGGCGTAGCATAAAATACGACGCTGTGTTGGGTGTCTGGTAAGAAGATCGAAAAACAAGAGCATCAGACGTAGTTTGACGTGGTTAAAATTAACAACCACCCTGAAGACAACTAAAGCGCAAGCTTTACCGAAACTGTGGTCCGCGTCGGCGACGCGCGTCGTTTCGCAATTAGATTAGAAATTTCGCGAGGAGGATGCGTGCAATTTAGAGACACAGAGGCGCGAGGCCCGTCTAGGAGCATGATGTGTGACGATAAATTACACGTAGGAGGCGACGAGGCAGATGTTCAGCCACGGGGCGAATTCCAAGAAGAGGCCGCACAGTTTGTATTTTTATTTTCACTCTCCCCCTTCCCCCCACCCCCGAGCTGGATGACAGAAAATCGTTGGACTCCCTTCACTTTTAGAAGAAGGGGGTGTAGACATTAAGCAAGGGCCGGCTGGCTGGCACGACTGTTATAAATCAGACACACGCACCCTCTATTAGCACCCCTGTCTCCGACAGGTCTCCGCAGCCCTAATTTAACGTTAAACGCTTTTCTGCTAATAACGGCCGCTCGCGTTATTAACTCTCGCCACGAGCCGCGTCGTGCTCTTGTAAAAAAAACACTGCATCAGTCTGGAGAAGTACACGTTAACAGGAACCTACAAACGATAGCATAAATTGAGGAAAGATATTTTACAGATTCTTTTTGTTAATTAGGCACGCGTACATCAGTATCAGGCACAAATCTCGAAGCTGCAGCTGGAGAACGAGTCAATGAGGGGTCAGCTGCGCGGTTTGGAAGCTGCGTGTGCTGGCGAAGTGCATGCTGCACTTGTGGCACGTCTGGCGACCTTGGAAACAGAGCACGCTGCCTTGGCGCGTGACGCCGACGCTCAGCGTCACCAGTACGAGCGGTGCCTGGACGACGTCGCCAACCAGGTGGTCCGCGCCCTTCTATCCCAAAAGGTTCATTGCTATGCTCTCGTTACCACTTCCTTTCTCTTTCTCTCTATCTCTTCTGACTTCTCCTTCGCTCATTTTATTTCCTTTCTCTTCTCTTCTAATGTTTTCTGCTTACTTGTGAATTCTTCGTGTAATTAAGTGTATCTAAAGTTCATTCATACTTCAATCGTTCGATCATCCTCTCTAATCCGCATCTGCTGAGCTGCAAGTCTGCAAGTCTGTGTGTTTAAAAAATAAATGAATACAATCCTCGTTAACATTTTTCTCTGTCAACTATAATTTATGCGTGAAACCTTGCTTATCCATGCAACTGTATATCAAATTTTCAGCCTCCACAATTTCAAACCCTCGTTCATTGTCCGCTAACGCGCTTTTCATCGTTCGAATCAAACTAGACTCGACGGACAGGGTGTAATGGTTGTTCGTATGATGCACAGGGTCTCAGGGAAGAAATCGGTGCATTGCAGAGGCGTATTCGGGAGCTGGAAGCTCAAAATCGAACGCTTTCAGGATTATTGGCACAGGCAGCGAGTCCTGGAAGTCCGACTGAGTTGATTCAAGGGATCCTCGAAGCTGGACCAGCGGCAGTGGTCGCTGCGCTTGGTCTCGATCCAGCTTGGGTTCCTTTAGCGAGGCCTCGTTCACTTAATCTACAGATACCAGTAATGGCTGCGACGAAATGTAGACGAAACAGACCCTTGGGTACGTTTCTGTTATATTTTATAACTCGTTGAATAATTTCAAAATCTATCATCTCTCAAATTTACAACGAAAGCGGTAAATACTGAAGGGTATTGTAAACGAAATTTAGCCCAAAAACCGTCGGAAGAAGAAGGGAGCGAGAGTCCAGAGAGCGGCAACAGGGATGAAGGTTACTCGACGATGTCCAGCGATGTCCAGGGAGAGGGTGCTCGACAGGAACCATCCCGAGGGTTGGAGGATCTGAAGGAAGCGACCGACGAGACGGAGGCGGATGTTTCTCCGGATGCAAGATTGGTCGCCCTTGACGCTGGTGACCCTGACGTTCTATTTTTGCCGTTGAATCTCACTGTAGGAATAAACCCACGTCACAGCTATCCACCGACCAAAGATTTGCTGCCGTATCAACACGTGATGCGTAGCTTCTCTGACAGTCATCTATGCCTCAAGTTGACCACGACGACCAATTTTACACCCTACAAACTATCCAGCCCCATTGGATCGTCCTCTCTCCTCCTCGTCGAAGAGGAGGGTTGGGATGCTGAATATGTGCAACAATGGCTCAGGTTTGAAATTATTTTTGTAACATCTTTGAATCGTTTTCATTTTAATAAAGTATCCTTTGTGTATTCGTCGAATAAAGAAGATCTCAAGGGTGTAATTAATACGCGCGTTTAATTTGAAAGGTGGTACAATAGCGACAGCGATTAAAGGAGGAGATAAATTTCAGGTTGGACGACAGCAGAAGTGCTCAACAACATCGAGATCTCCTCGAGTTGGAATACGACAGAGCAGAACTGGAAGATTGGAGTTTCTCGTTGTCCACCGAGGACCTTGTTCAAAATGAATCCACGGTATGGAAGGAACCTGCTACCACTACAACCACCCCGGCTCTGCCGGCAATCAAGGAACATAATCCTCTAGAATTGGAAGAGGACGCGAACGAATGCTTATGGAATGGTGCCAGTTACCTGGCTGATAGAACCGGAGGCGAATTGGTACGAAAGTCATTACGAAATTTAACACAATGTCTCGTCTTGTTTTATCTTCTCTTTTATTCGATATCTTTTTTTACAATTTTTATTTACAAATTATCATTCTCTTATTCAGGTTGCTTTGCTGATGGACGCTAGAGCAACTGGCTCGTGGCCATACGCTACAAGCCCGGGTGCTTCCTGGAGCAGCGAAGAAGGAGCTCTTGAAAACTCCAGCAAGAGATCATCGGCGGCTTTATCCGGTTGTAGCGACGATCCAGACTCTCCCTCCGTTGGCACCGATTTTACCAGAGACTTCTACAGGTTGGTCAAGTTCGAGAGTACGAAAAGCTTAGCTAGCACGTCGTCGAGAAGCGGAAGACCTCCGCCGGACAGAGAACAAGCTCTGCAAAGCGTGCTGTCGTTCATCGCGGAACAGCAAATGTACTTAGCCGAACTACCGAATAATCTGTTGGAGCACGGCAACGTACCTCTCGCAACGGAAGGTTTGTGTTTCTTTTGTTATTAAAGACAGAATAAAGAACAGTTTAGAGCTGATCGGCGTGAAATGAATGGCGGTTAAGATATCTCTGAAATGTAAATTGAAGTTTAATTTCATGCAAACAGTTGTAGAGGAAACTGAAAACAAAGACGAGCGTGGAACCGAGGCGATGTGCACCGAAATAGAAACATCCGTCGATCAAGATAACAGCAACACGGAGAACGTCGTTGAAACGAGCAGTAACGACGATCTGCTGGATCAGATACCCGTGCCGTCTTTAGCACCAGAAGAGAGAATAATCAGTGCAGTAGCGTGTAACGGTGGCGTCTCTTACACCACGGTAGCGCCGTCTGAATTAGGAGCTGTCCCCGAAGAAGACGAGGAAGCGGCCACTTCCTCTACGCCGAGCACAGTTGTAGGTTTTCTAATCAAATTGACGTCGCTTTTCTAATCAAATTGAACGATCGGAAAAAATCTGAAAAATTAAAAATTTAAGTTTTGAAAGACTTAATGAGTTTTTAATTGATTCACTTCCATTAGGTCAGTCCAGCAAGAGCGCCTTTATTAGTGGAGGGCAGAGATCGATCGTTGAGTTTCCATGAACGTGCCACGTCGAAAGATGTGATAGACGAGTTGAATCGAATGATCAGGAAGGGCGAGGAACACACGGTCACCCATGAAAGCCAGGTGCCGCTGGAAAAATTGGATCTCGCTTGCTGCTGCCCAACAGGATGGGTTCACGTTGAACGGGACATTGACTTTACCGACCCAAAAGTGAGTTCCGTACATATGCTGGACTCGATTTCTTGGGTAAAGTACAAGGGCAAGAGATAAGTGTTTGAATAATTGACGTTTTCTATAGGCAAGAGCCAATCTTTTAGACGTGATGTTAGAAAGCAGCGAAAGTTCTTCGGCGACATCGAGCAGCGGATCAGCAGGAAGTGACTCGGGGGATGAACCGCCTGATTACCGTCACTTGCATAGATTACACCGATACCGACGACAAAAGAAAGGTATTTATACATTTTCATTTGTACCTATCTTTTTGTCCAGTCCTCTGCACATCACTCTGAAATACTTTCTCTCGACTTAAGAACTATACCCTCCGCTTAACACAATTCGTGTTTGACGGAAATAAAATTGAAGGAATCGATGTTAGAATCTTTGATCATATCGAACTTTAAATTGTCTTTCGTCATGGAAACACGTTCTTCTATCGATCTGTATCCAATTTCTATCGAGAATGCAGTATGAAAGAATTGCTTTCGCTTATTACACTAACATTACTAACAAACTGTTGCATAGATCACGCTACTATACTCAAGATAAATTTGGAATAAAATGATGATATCGTAGCATTGTGTTATCTATCTTTCTTCTATATATATAAAGACAAAAGCGCAGCCCAAACCCCTGAACCTAGAAACATGAAATTCGGGTAGTGTATTCCTCTCATGACGTAAGCACCCGCTAAGAAATAACCCCTTTAAAAATTCGACCCTTAAGAGTGTAAAAAGGGTTAAAATCTATTTACACGGATTCGTCAATATCTCTTCGGCCCGATGAGATATCAACTTGGTTTTTGCTTAAGAAGGTCACCCATACAAATGATTAAAATCATAATTCAGGATTTTATTCTAATCAACCTCTAAAGGGGTAATCTAGATTCAGGGGTAAAGGTAATTATTTTACGGACGGCATCTCCGATTTCAATGATTTTTAAATATGTTGTAGAAATGAACATTTTGAACAACTTTTTCCTTACATATAACCACCGCTCGGCCTTAGTTTTTGAGATATTTTCGAAAAACTGAATTCGCATTGAATTCTGCCTATCCGTGTGCGATCGTGACAACGTACGCGTTAGTATGGGATCGCCACTTTTCTACTGTTTCTGCAAGCAGCAATACTTTTCTGAAATACTAGAGATTGATCACCAAAAAATAATACATCAATTATTACTTCAAATTCTCCAAGTTTTTATTTATGAGAGCTGGTAGATGGAAGTATGGTATATTAGCGTGAATTCTACGCTAACATGTCAACACAAATCACTGTACAGTCACAGAAACGGAACATGAACACGAAACGCTAGTCGCCCTCGCTGTACATAGCCTTTTCCACGTTTTCTGTTCAGATGGTAGCTCCTACGCGGTGTGCTTTGATTGTCACAAGAAAAGCTACGTAGTTCGGCTTAGTGACGATCAGTTTCTGTAATCGACATGCCAGTTGGGAGGAATCGTTTCGCCGGGACCTAATTTGGGCCAGATCCAACGTGAACTGTACGGCTACAACGGATTTTCCATTGGCTTACTAACAGATATTTATTAACCAGAAGACGAACGAACCGAATTTCGTGCCGGAGTCACCTTTACGCAATTCCACCTACCGGACAGTAGATAATCCGATACGTCTGATAAATTTTCAATGGAAACATTAACACATTACGAACGTATCGTTAGACGTTTCATATTTTTATATATTTTATTTTGAATTCTGTTGACAAATTGTGATTTCATTGAAAGATACGATATAGGTATACGTTGAGACAGAGTTGTCCGTAATGTGTTAATATATGTATATTGTTTCTTTTTTCTCTTTTTTTTCTTTTTATTAGTTATAAAGTAATGATCATTGTGATAAGATAATTAGGCGTTCGTAGCCGGACATAAGCTGTTAGATTACAGTAGGTATTTGAAATTATTATGTAAATAAGTCTGTTAACAATATTTATCAGATATAGTCGTTGTATCCGTTCAACAACGCGCCTGGAATTGCGTCAAGGATCACGTAACACAGTTACTTTCTCTCTCATTCTGAAGACAATTGGTACTTGTGCAGTGTCATTGGCAGGTACTCGACCGTCATTATTATTGTTCATTCATCATTACTTCCTATCATTCCTCTATTACTCGCCATCTGACTAATAAGACTGCGATAACACGAATCTCATAACAGTCATTATTGTAGCTTTTAACGTAATAACCTTCGCAGACACATCTCATTCTCATTCCTCGGTACTCGTGCATCTGTGTTACTCGTGACAGACAAACAGCTTTATTACTTATTCCAAAGAATCGTAGTGTTCGAATCTCATGAAATAGAACTTTTGCATTGGAATTATCCTAAATTTGATTCTAACCCATGGTTTCTGAAAAAATGATCTCAACCCCAAAGCTGTTTGATTCTGTCGCGAATTCATACGTCGCTTACTTGCCAATGGAGATTGTCTCGTTGGGCGATGAAAACGTATCACGAGAGAAAAGTTAACTGATTAAGAGATCCCGTGACAATGGAAGACGATGAAAAGAGTTAAATGCACATACATGTACAATAAACAAAAAAACAAAAAAAAAAGACAAAGGAGAGTGAGGGGAGAGAAAGAGAGAGGAACGTGGTACGTGTAAAAGAGTGCTAAGCCGAGCTACTCTGTGTCTGCTAGAGCCGGTATAGGAAGAGAAAGAAAAGAGATCAAGTGAGGTCTGAGGCATGTTGACCCGCTGCGCTTGGTTTCTCAGCATCGGCGGCCCAGGCACATCGTGTGCTGAGACTGCCGTCAACGTGGGGTTCATCGAGGCCGTCGATCATTGGACGAGGCGAGGATTTCTTCGTGCGATACGGAGACAAGGAACGGGAAGCCGTGGCCTCTTTCGACTTCCTTGACGAGATCGTTCCGCCATCCTCCAGAGGCTCCAATACCAGTCTCATCGACCTGGACGACACACCGTCTGCTGAGCTTCGCGGTGACATCATGAAGCTATCTCCGCTCTAGGATGAGGTTCGATCTAGGGGTCTATCGTAAAATTACTATTGATCGCTCTTATAGGGTTCAGACCAAACTGTTTCCGTTCGACGATCGAACCAACCTCCTACATCTGCTTTGCTACTGAGAGAATTTAAGTTACAGACGCTGATTGTACTACTTATTCCAACCCTCGTGCACCGTTAGGGTTAAATTCACCCTGAATGGAAATATTAATATCTAATAATCGATTGTTGTTCTGCAAATTTAACGTAAAATTCCAAGTAGCAAAAAAGATAATAAAAATTTTAACGGTGCACAAGGGTTGATATTCTCACTGAGAGCACATGGAACTATGAAAATGAATTCATGAAGAGTTTATTTGTAAAATGTAAGTCAAAGTTTGGTTTCTGTAACATCATACACACGTAATTTTGATGGGGAAGTACAAATTGCTTTTTTTTTTTGTACGACTGTATTCTTATGGGTTTATCATAAAGGGTCAGTATAGTTTTAGTGTTAACGCTAGCAGGATTTAATTTAATATTTATTTTTCGTTCAGTCCTCTCTGAAAAAGCTTTAAGTCTTTTTGTAGGTTGAGAAGATTTTGACCAACATCTTTAAACAGAGTTTCCATGCTATTGCTTGAAATTGCAATGTTTTTATTTTAAAAAAAAGAGACAGAAAAAATGTTCCTCCACACGACAAACGATTGTGTAAATTAATGAAATAAGCGAAGAAATTTATGTACGATATATTTGTTTGCCTATTTACGGTAAAGGTGTACATCTTCTTTGATCTCTAAGTACTTGCTGTTCGTTATTCCATTCGTGAATATTTCGATCTGTACATAGACTATCCATTTTCCTACGAATAAGAACAATTATTCATTATCCAGTTACGTCTTCAATGCCTGGCATCTGTGTGTTTTTGTTTCGAATTTTTCAAAAGCATCAAAGATGACTGTTGAGACAAAACTGCAAAATGAAGAATATTGTTTCGTCTAGTAATGAAGTAATCGTAAGAATTATCGTTTTAGAGCTTCCTCTGAACTATTCATTGAATTCTTTCCAAATAAAAAAACAAGCAAAAGAATATTCAATGAAAGAATTTTCAATTTCAAAAGGAATAGAACCAGAAACTAATTACTGTACTTGAAACATACTCTTGCTCACGAAATGAAGATAGACTTCTTAATTAGCGTATGCATAATGAATATTAATACTAAAGTATGAGTAACTCGATGTAAAATGTGGTCTAAACACTTAGTGTGTGTAATGTGTACAGTACATACAAATTACCACAGAAAAAAAAAGAAAATATAAATCATAGACTGGAACTATGATTTGACTTGACAAAAGGAACAATACCTCCATTGATGATCTTGTTAATTAAAATCAATCTTGACATTCAACGAGTAGTCCGTAACGAATCAAGTACGCACACAACAAATTTGGAAAAGTTAATTTTACAATATTTCATTGATAAAAAGCGTACAAAAGTGATAGATAAAGAATTTCTACGATTTTCGACAGGAACACACATCCGATTTGAATTAGGCACAAGATTGTCGTGCATATTCTTTGAAACTGAGCTTAGAATGAAACTCTAGATTAAGGACTTAATCGACGATTTTTTTTTTTTTTTGAGACCACGAATTTGTACCATTTCTTGAACGATCGTCGATGAATGTAACGTACTGTTTGTTTGTGCGAAACACGCACCATGAAAAGGTACGCCGAAGAGAGGCGTACATACAACTTTTCGTTCCGTCTTCGATGAAAGAGCGTGTATGTTAATGATCTGTGTAAAATAAAAGATACGTTTGAATTTGGAGCGTATATAAATTTCACGTAACGCTCAACGAATGAATGGTAAAAGGAAATCGTGTATAACGGAAGAATGGTTAATGTTAAATGGATCAAAACGCCGTACCAAGAAATGAATATTTCGCTATTTGTACGAGAACAATAGGTGAAGTTTGAACTCGCGTTTGGTCAAATTACTAGGAGATAATATCATTAGTTGGTATAATGTTTAAGATAACGAGTCGATAGAAATCGAAATATTTTACACGTAGATGATATAGATATATATATATAAATATATATATATTAAACATGATGGATATTTTCAATATTTGAAAAGAAGACTGTACGGATACAAAGTTGTCTCTCTGTTCCATTAATTTAATTAAAAATAGTCCATTGATTGATTAAAATTAAATCAAACTTGTAATATATGTATATCGTTTACGCGTGTATCGATTGAAGAAACATATTTGTTTTAATCGTTTATAGTATTTCATCATTGTGATTGGATACGTTATCTCGTTTTGTATTATTCAACTTTGAACATTCTTGATAACTACAACGAAGAAGTTCCGACGAAAAACAACTTTTATCGTACAGTCCGGAAATAATCATTTAAATAATAGTATCTAAGATACCTGTAAGTTGCATTACCTTGAAAATGCGATTACTAAAAGCACTGATCCTCTCTGACCCAATCGTAAGGGGAAGAAAAAGGAATATACTAAAATAAAGAAGGAAATCCATCGATGATCGTGAATGATTGGGGCATTGTAAATAGTATGTATTATAGCACAACAGATGTAAGTTATCCTCTCTTGAACTTAATAAATAACGACAATATAAACGAATGTAAAGGCGCATACTCGATGTTCAATCTAGAAAACCGTTCCTACAAAGACATTATCAGATACATATACGTATGTATGTGTCAATCCATTTGATCGTACTGTCCATTAAGATACGAATAAGTATTTCAATAAAATAATTAAAAATAATATAATTATATCAATGTTTCAATTGCATGTAAATAGCTGTGATAAATACACATTCGATTACTTAAGATCTAACTAATGGGAACATGTTAACATGAAAGTTTATATAAAACAGAATAGAACGTAGTTATTAGATATGTAACGAAATGTTTTTTCTTTTTTTTTCACAGATTAAAGGCACAATAAGAAATTTGGGTAAAATAGGTTTTATTAAAATGAAAATATGTCGTTCGACATTACTCTTAGAGAAGTATAGTGAATATGTGCTGTACAAAGAACAATATGAATTATATTTTATAAAAGCATCTGTAAGCGATGTGTAATACTTATAAAATATTATAAAAATACGTTCCTATAACATTCGTCGTATTATACGTAATGCGCTATAATTTAGAATTTTCGTTGAATATTCTTAATTTTTGCAAAATTGTAGTTTTTCTTTTCACAAAGATTCAGGATATTTCGACTCAATAATAATATTAATAATAATCGTGTACACGAAAAAGGTGGTAAATAGCTAAGATAAAATTAAAAAAAAAAAAATTACCAAGCCTTTAAAAATAAATATTTTGCACCGGTTATCGCGATCTTCGTATATATCACTACATATTACTACTATGTCATCTACGTAAGTAATATATCCAATTTCATAGAAATATATAAAAATTAAAAAAACAAAGTCACGTTAAACAATATGTTTATACGTTCGACATCGCACACCAAGAAGGTTCGATATTCAAACGAGAAATGATACACAAAAAGCTGAAACGAAAGGCACTTTCTCGCTCTAGAATTTGCACTTCTATCAGTTGTAATAAAAACAATTGTGTAAATTTGTCTTGTTTGTAGTATCAGTAACCTCTACCGGATCTTACAATCAAGTCATTTAATGGTAGTGTTATCAATTATATTACTTTTTATGCAATATATACTTTCTTTTATGTTTATTAAAACTCTCACACTCTGTAACCTCTGCGTTCAGCATTCCTGACGGAATTCGCCAGGCAAAGTGCGAAAATGATGCCGATCAACTGAAACATAAAAATGATTCACGTGTATGATTTGTAAAGAAGAAAAACTGAATCTCTGCGATGGAAATCAGAAGCAGAGGGATTTCAGAAACAACTTTTCGTTGACAATTGTATAAAATGATAAACTCACCTCAACTCCGGCAATACCAACTGCAACGCCACCCAATAAGGTTCCCGCTGTTTTCAGCGCAGATTCCAATTCTTGCGCACAACCCTTATCGTACGATTCGTTCATTGAACAACTCTGTCCTTCAGGTTTACCGCAACAACTCCAGGGAATAGTACCATTGAAGTTATCATGAGGAGAGTAATCGGTCTTAGAGCCGACACCACAGCACTTGAACTGCAAAAAAGTTTATAAAAATCTTTGAAGAAATATATCCATTAAGCCAGCTTCCGCAGTCCTAGAATACTCATTAATCCTCAAATGGATTAAAATAGAAATAAGATCATAGAATTTTATTAAATAATAAAAGTATGCTAGTGAGTGGTACTTACAGCAGCTTGAACGATATCTACAATTTCTCTGTTCTGCACTTCCGTGGGGTAAGTCTGGAATAACTCATTGTAACCCTTCCTGACAGTGTCAGGATCGACTTGCTTGATGACCACGAAAGCATAAACTGCGACTGCCACTTGAATCAGCAAGATGAACATAAGCATCGAGGCAAACTGAAAAAAGAATTAATCATTTTAGAACATTAATTATCACCAACTTGAATTAATATTAGAAATATATAACTTACGGTAACAATCATGCAATGGCTGCTGCGAATGGCACCACAACATCCGAAAAACGATATCACAAATATTATGCTACCAAGGACAATCAACGTTATCGATGGGAACATAATATTGGTATCGAGGTGTTGGGAGACACTTGCCAGCTCTAAGTGTACGATGACACCTACAGCTAGGATACCCAACCCGCATACCTGTAACAGATAACAATTTCAATCATGGAACATGTGTAAATTTTTCAAAATAGTCAGAAATTAGTCAGAAATTTTTGAAACAAGATTTGTTCAGAATTAACTGAAGAGAGGGAGGACTCATCAAACTTACAATCAGCCCTTATGAGGTGAAAAGTAATATAGAAGATTCGAAATTTTCCAATGAAATACAATTTGTTAATAACTTAGTAATTACTATAAGATCATTTGTATAACCCCAAAGGGTATACTCAATGCTCAATCGTTCGAATCGTTAAGTTTTTACACAGACAACGATTGAAGGCTAAGACTTGCCTCATCGAAAGCAGCCGCTTATTACATCACGTTGCACAATATCAACTGGTTGGCATTGAACATTCTGTACACGGTACACAGCGATTGCGAGTGTCCGCTGTTGAATTTAGGTCATATTCCAGGTGCGACAGCCAGGTGGTTCAACGTACTTTTAAACCCTTTTCGGTCGGAGTTTATTGAATGAGTCGAGAATATGATTAAATGTTTCCAAATAAAATTAGAAACGTTCTAGTTACTCGGTAATAGACTTCCAGTAAATAAAATATTAAAATTTATCAAATAGTTTATTATAAATCAGGAATTTATTAAACTTTGTAAGTTAAAATTTTTATTTAGTAATATTGAAGTTTTAAAAAAGTGTAGTTGATATAGTGAAGTCCTTACATAAGTTGTTCGATAATGGTAGCATCAACTTTGATTTAAGATAATGGGAAAATACCCAGGAGATTATCTACGTATGTGTTGTACTGTATAAAAAAAAGCTATCAAACTCGTAATTAATGTATTTTTACATATTGATTCTCTTTTCCATTAAAATCTACTTTAGAAAATTCCATTTTTATTTCAATTATGACTTTAGACTGATTTTAAAATAGATTCGATTATCGTAATTGATTAAACTTCAAAATTTCTTCGTATATCACAGACACGATCGCTTGTTAAATTTTATCAGTCATTTTTGTAACTGTTATATTATAACACTTTCACCTGTTATCTATACGAAGAAATTTTCTCTTTAATTCCTAGTGAATCATCGATAAAGCGATCAATAGTGATGTTATCTAATTTCATATTTAAACGTTTCGCATAACTCGTGATGAAAATTGTATCGTAATCGTGATTACTTTAAAATATCGATATTAATTGATAAAAAATGTTGCTTCTGGTGAAGTGAAAACCTCTCACTCAAATGAATTTCTATAGAAAATTAAACAAGTGTTTCTTGTAAATAATTTAGTTTACTAGGTATACATAATTAATTTATCCAAACCGAGTCAAGTTACAATTTGAAAGTAAATGAATTCTTGAGTATGATCATGATGAGGTAACGTTTATTAGAATGATTCAATAAAGAAATCGGAACAAAAGTAAATGATAATAGAACTTTATTTAACTGCAATTGTATAGCAATACTAGTATGGCCTATCCTTGACACTTTATGGATATGTTCTCTTCGTGGCTCGCATACGCTGAAAACTATTGTGATCGATGCTGAGAGCCTCACACGTGCTAAGGCACTATAGTGCTCCATTTTAGGGCACATCGTGAATTTATCATTCGAAATCTGTTGTCAACTATAGTATTATCACTTTGAGAATTTTAAATCGACCTCCTCACCTACTTGCTTACAAATCGATTACCAGTATAAGCTTCGTTCTTTCTTCTCTAACTTTATAAAATATTTCAAATTACTGTAGAAAGGAGGTTCAAATGAAAAATTCATGAAACATGTACATATCATGAATCATAAAGAATTCTCAACAAGGAATCTCAACAAGGATCAAGGAAAATGAAACGAAATAATTCTTGATTACATGAATCATTCAATAATTAAAATAATCACATCTTTTTCCTGTTACTTTGATATTAACATAATGATAACATTTAGAAAAGGTTCCATAATAAAGTGCCTCCAGTAGAAGTATTTAAAATTTATTCGTAATTATGAAAAACTGGAAATTCGAAAGGTTAAACTTTTATTTTTTCTAATTTACTTGGAACAAGGATCAATAGTGTATAGATGTTGCTCTAATTCGAATGAAACAAGTAAACTAGGTCTGATATAACAAAGTTTTTCAAGAGTTAACGAAGTTATATCCAGCTTGTTATAATCGTCTACAATGTACGGCATTTATAAGTTAGTCAGCCATGATAACACAATCGTATATGTGTACAGAATGTATCATTTGATCTTCTAACCGAATGACATCATTCTATTCAACGTATTGTGGATACACCTCGACAGGCTAATTTCCTCCGAAATCACAGCCGTCTGATGATTAAATAAATTCCTGTCTGGTTGACTTTGTCTGAACCGCGTATTTAGTCATTCAAAAGCTCGTTCCATAAATTGATATAAAAGTTTATTTCATATTTTACGAGCACGAAGAATCAGAACAACAATTGTCATTTTAACTCGATTATTTTTTTGTGAAATTATCATCATACTCGATCTTATTGATAGATTAGAACTACCATGTATATTAATAGATTTTAATACGTGGCATGTTATTAGAATTAATTAGCTCTATAAAACGGCATCGTTAATCAACGATATCAATCATCGATCAACAACCAATCTATTAATTAATCTTCTATGTGCTCTAACATCGTGGGCAAAAAGAACAGAGCACAATATGAAATTTCACTATTTTAGGTATCTTCTAAGCCATTCACTATTTTTAGTATCAACTTCAGGACACACTGTCGAAGATGAAAAAAGTCGTTTGTAACCGTTGAAAAGCAGAATCCCTTGCTAGAGGGCAACAAAACCTGTTCCCCTGTTGGGGGAACGTTCAAGAGGAAGCCTTGAAAGGTGTTACGTTACTGGACAAAACAAGATGGACGGTTAAAAAATATTTTTTTCTTTCTTTATTCTTGCTAACCCGTACACGATTGTTGAGTCTGCGCATAAAATAGCCGAAACGAAGATATCGGAAGTGACTCATCAGTGTTTCTAAACTCTGATACGAATTCTACTGCAAAGGTTATCAAAACCCTTAATTTCCGGCTTTAAATATTTTCTATTTTATTTACTATTTTATTGTACGTAGAAACAATTCACGGGAAAAGACAATATTATTCCAAGCAAACTACAATGTTTTATTGTGTGCCAGCAGACAATATGAAATTGTTTCTTTTATATAACAACGCTTACATCACACACCAAGTGCATTAACAATGATTATTGGTATGTTTCTTTTCTTGTCTTTGAATCACATCAATCTAATGGATATCCATCTAATAAAATAAGATTAAGCTCTCTGTCGTGTAGAGTATACTGAAACTTCGCCACGGGAAGCTATAATTGGCAAGCAGAACGAATAGCATGGCGACCAAGGCCGTATCTAAAAATCTGAATGAAACCTGTTGCGGTAACGATCCGGCGAATGACGTAATTCGTTGGCACTTTTAAATTCGTTTCGTTGCTAATTCGTCGAAAGACCTAGTCCGAATTTATTTCGTTTGACTTTGTACCGGAATTATCGTCTTTCCAGTAATTAATTTGGAGACATTGCTTTTTAAATATCTTCGAGAATCCTCGAATAAAATTAATATCTAGGAGAAACAATTTTGAACAATTGAAAGTTGTAATAAATCTAGGCGCCAAGTGAAAATGATGAGATTCTCGGATATCATCATACTAGATTCAATTGTGGTAAGAGTTTAATTTCACAGGAGCGTACTCCAAGTCCCTGTGAATTCTTAATGACGTGACTCACAATGCGGGAAACTCGATATAATTCTTAGTTAAAACGTACACCACCAGTTGCAATAATAAAACGTTGTACGTAGAACATTTCACTATGTAGCGACCCCTCTTTACACAGACTATCATTGTTTCAATTATGATAACTTATCAATGAATCTACAGGTGAAATATGATACGAAGGTTTTCTAAAAAATTCTTGTTTGTGTCAAAAAAATGAATTTATGTTAAATTAAAGAACATTGCGCGCATTTAACGCACGTAGTGCAACGTGAAATATGAAGGCGTGTTCTTAGCGGTGTATGAAACATCAAGGATACCCGACACGACCGAGCCTTGAGTAAACCGAAGAATTTAGAGCAGAATTATATCCAGTTCCCCTCTGACCCTGGAGAAATGACGCAGTTTCATTGTAAAGCATATAAACTACTTTGGAGCGATATTTTAACAGCGTCTCCGTGACATTAGACGAAACGTGTTTTCATGCTCCTATCGTTTTCTTATTTCTGTTTTTCCCAATATTATACAAGGGGAACACCACTCAAACATGTGTTGCAAAATGTAGATGCAAAAAAAAACTTAAATCGATAACGAATGAATCACCTATTCGTGGAAGCCCTTGAATATTTCGAAAACATTTGAGTGATTCATTGTTTTCCACAGTAAATTCCTTTTGGAGCACTAGACGATAAAAATGCATCAACAATTCAACCCTAGGGATCCCAAGATGGAAGGTTTAAGGTCAACCCAAAGGTAATTTTTTGAAAGCTACATGATACAATATTAAAATAAAAAACACTATTTTTAAGTAAATTAAGTAATCCAGAAAACTGAACCGAAGTTTGAAATTCTGCGAGCGCTTCCTTAGGATCCCTAGGATTAAGTAACTCGACTGATAAAACAGAAGAAGGTAATCTAATCGATCCTTGTGCACTGATAGATGAAAAATTACTTACAGCGAAGATAAAATTAAAAATATAGAGTAACCACTGGATACAATCGGAGACGCAACTCATTTTGATTATTTTCTGTATCGATTCGAGTACACGGTGGAAAAAGAGATAAGAAAAAGAGAACGAAACACTGCAAGGACGGTTGTGACAACTCAAGAACTCGAGACGAGACGAGACGAGACGAGACGAGAGTGGAACGAACACTAAAAACACCGGAGTTAGTTGCGTCGGTCGAAATGCGTGAAACGGGCTTGGATCTTCCTCTCTCTTACTCTCATTTATTCGTTCATTTGTCTCTCTCGCTCTCAAACATCTTGCATCGCATCATCGTCCGTGATTTCTCAGGAACCAATGGTTGGCGTTTACGTCAGTATAGTTAGCGTGCAAACTTAATTGTTAAGGAGACTGGCACCACTATCTTTCCAGGAAAAAAAGAAGGAAAATAAATTTGACAATGATTGATATCACTTTTACGTCACGAATTAGGTAGGGGCAACAGATTAAACAATTAAAGCGCATTTGTAATTTTATAAAAACAATAACAAGACATATGATATGAGGATCCATAACATAATCCCCTAGGGAAGTTATCAATCAGTCAATTAACTTTCGTATCGCGCCACGCTATGATTTATAGGCTCCGCGTTATATTGAAATCAAATTTGAAGTATTTTATTAGGAATATTTTAAAATGAACATATGATTTTTCACACATAGAAAATTAACTAGGCTCACGCATAAACGTCCGACGTAAAATATCGAACCTATATCGAGCGTGAAACTCTCTTGACACAAATAGAACCACCCATATCGATTGTTTAATAGTTGAAAAGGATATACACGTTTACCCACTTTTCTATCATCATTGAAAATGTACGAGCATTGCGCATAAGTGTTAACTTATCGTACTTTACGTTGAAATTTCTTATCTGTAGTAAGAAGAACACCTTTACGTGCGTCAAATATTAAACTTTGATATCAAGACTAAAAATAAAACTGTTAAAATACAAGTACTATTACGAGATAGGTACCGTCACCTTAATTAGAAAATCTTGTAGCTCCAAAACTCAAAATATTTACAAAGGAAAAGAATATGCAATATAATATTTTTTAATTATAGAACAGGTGATTGTTATCAAAAAGCTATTTTATAAATAACATTTTATCAAATAAAAATGAGTACGCGATGTAATGATACTCGATGACAATTCGTGAAAACGAACTGGAGAGTTTTTCAGCATAACAGCTCTTCCTTATCGTATGACTCATGGCTCGTCGCGCTCATATATTGATGTATGTTTAAACAAATACGTGCAAAAATACCGTGACTCAGATAACTTGTTATCGGTATCTCTGTTCGCATCAATTATCATGTAACAATTAAAATTAATAAATTGAATTTTACACTCAATTGAAAGAACGCTTACGAGAAGGATTTATCGTCGTTCTTATAATGCAATGACCCAGTACAGACATGATAAATGATGATATATACGACGAGTAATCAGAATTCCGATTACGGAGCCAAGAGGAAAATTATATTCATTGTTATCGCCTTTTTTTAACGAGATAACAAATGCTAAATTTTCGTATAACAAAGCGTTTTCCATGCGAAACAAGAACGCCGTCGTGAAATAAAAATAGTCTGAATATAAGCAAACTTCAAATTAGCTGTGAAATTCGCTCGAACTTGAAGGATCATTAAATTGAATTAGCATAAGGAATTTTTTAACAAGATCGAAGGTTGCAAAAAACAAAAATTTATCGGTGAAATAACGGAGTAAACAAGTAAGTTGTTGAAAACGTTCAAAAGAAAGAGGTGATTTATCAATTGCTTTTAAAAATAGCCCGTAGCTCTCATTGCTTGTAATCAAATACGGCGTAAAAAGTACTTATGCCGTTCGATGAAACGATTGAATTCACCATTCTTTTCAAAGCCAAATATAATTTGACACGGTTAAATATTATTTTTAAAGAATCTTAATAATCATTAAACGGCACGTTTTATTTATACGTTCACCTTCTATGGTCGGTCGACGTTAAACAGTAACGCGTTCCTCGATTACACTCGATACAAATCAAATAAGTGCGCAGTAAAACGTTTGCAATAAATTAAATTTAAATAATTTCAATGCTTACCGCAAAAATGAAATTGAATACGAAGAGTAGAGTTTTGACCAATCCCATTCCGCAACCCATTTTGGTAGCTTTTTCGTCGCAACAGTTGCGTCTGATTCAAACGATGGAATGCGTTACAATACCAGAAATCGTTCAAAGGACGCACAGAGACGCTCAACAGGTTAGGTTAGAAACGGCACAACCCACCAACTATGAACACCGAAGTCTCGTGTTGAACTGATACGACAGTCGAAACGGGTTTCTGTCTTGAAGCGCAATAGCGCCACGATCGTTTTTATCTAGAAAGATTGAATAAAATCTCCTGTATTTTATAAATTGCGCGTCATTATTGATAATGTAAGGGGTTTTTTTTAAAACTGCAGTCGCTCATGAAGGTATTCGTTAGATTAGTTTATTTTGAGTAGAATAAACAATAGCTTGGTTTAATAGCATCTGAAGTATAGTATGTAATTTACCTAAACAGGTTTCGCTCCATTATTAGAGACGCTAGATCTTTCAACGGTAGATTTTTGTGTATAAACACAGAATTGTAATCGAGGTAGTAGAAAAACAACGCATCATTTTACAAAGTGCAATATGCAAATGAAGTCCAGTCAAACATTTCACTTTCGTTTTCTTTCATACCCAAGGTTATTAAGATTTGATCGTGACATCATCAGCATGACGCTATTTCGTGGAACTTACTAATCATGTGAAATTTGTTTGATTAGAAAGGATTTGTAATGTCGATGTAATGTATCAATTGATAAAGAACGTGATATAATTCGCATGTTATATTACAAATATTTATTTTGGTCATGATAAAATTGTAAAACTTCTGTACAGTAGTAAAAATCATTTTTTATTGTATCGATTTATCAGTTACTTAAGGAACTCTGTATTTAATAGCGCTATATTTATCAGTATCAAATTTTATAAAATATTGTGCAGCATCGATTGGCATTTATTGTAGTACAGGGTGTCCCATATAACTGGGCCAAGTTATATTTCCAAGCTGACGTGTAACAAAGTACAAAGTTTCTTAAAATGAAATTTTGTACGTTGTTATATATCAATCGAAGCGTCTTTTAGAGAATAAAAATACGCTTCGATTGATGTATAACAAAGCACACAGTTCCATTTTAAAAAATGAGAATGACTTCGAGTTCTTTAAAACGCCTACATTTTAGGCGCAGACGTATGCATCTCGCAGTGTTTAATTTTTCTTAATGATATTTTTTCTCTCTTTAACTGTTTCTATAATTTGTCCCATTTGTATGGGACATTCTGTATTTAATATTTTTATAGGGTATCAGGGTACTAAAACAAAGTATCGTTATAAATTAGTATATAATGATTATTTTTAAGTATCGATCGTCAAATATCAGTCGCTGCTTTGGAATATTTCATCTGTTGTCCAAGAAGATTATCATTAGTTCCTAAGTCTTTCGATGCACGTGCAAATGATTGCGACGCACTTATTATTTCCTTTCTTCTTTCTCTCCTTTCACGGCAAGCCTTCACGTAACAACTCATGCATGTAATGAAACAAACCTAAAAATAATACAACAATTCAGGTCTTGTTTCTACTCCCTGCCGAGTAGTAAAATGATTTCATCACCTGTAATAAAATTGTACATAATGCGAGCAAGAAAACATGAAGAAGAATCGATCTGGTACGCTTCATTACTACATGTTGGCAACCTCTTGCGTACAGTGTAGCACACACGCCTTTATTATCACTGGGATTTGCACCTGACGTCGTATCGCAACAAGACCATGGAATTGCATCCTGGCCGTGATAATCAGCTGGACCGTTTATTCCACAGCAATGCAACTAAAACAGGAATGAACTCTTTGCCTCAACCGTTTATAAATAAACAATCTCTTCAACTTCTAAACGAATGTACCTTGGAATGCATATGATCCCAAAGAGATTTATCATCCGAAATGGCATGTTTGAACACCTGTTCTAGATCCGCAGTTGGTAACAGATCTACCTGTTCGTGTCTAACAAGAGTCCAAATCCCAGCACTTGTATTTGCGATCGTTATAATGATCAGCGATATGGAAAACTAAATGAAAAAGCTACACGTTACTTTATCATGAATAGATAAAGAAGAACTATTGAAATATTAACACTTTCGCTGTGATATCAATTTGTGACTCTCGAACACCGTCCATCCAATTACAAAATGAGCCAGGACTTTTTAGTGAAAGAAATAAGAGTGTGTATTCCGGGGGCAATGTAGGCTTCTCTTGGTTAAGGGTAAGTGTAAGGGGTGGAAAATTTCCATCACCTGCCTTCAGTGTTAGGGGAACCCTGGAAGAATCTAGGGAGAGCCTACCTAAGTACCTGAGACCCTTCTCTTCCTTTTCACTAAGAGAAGCCTAAGTTACTCACGAATGTTCATTAAGAATAACAAAGAACTTCAATTTCATATTTTCCAAGAAATTAAGCTGAGAAGTGTTCTTGGAATTAAATGAACTTTATCTTCTTTATCGATACAAAAATTTAACATAAAGTATCGATCAGTAATCGATATAAACAATAACGTAAGATTTCTTACAATTATGACTTGACCGGTGTTGGTGAAATCTAAAAATTGCCAGGCACACCAGCCTATCGTACACGTTATCAGCCCCATCACTAGCAACGTTATCGGTGCCCCGCAGACATTACTGGGAGTAAGGGGTGAATATTCATACAGTTGATATATGAAATAACTCGCACAAATACTCTCTATGAGACCGCATACCTACGAAAAAGAAAAGGAAATTTCGTGTCATTTATAAACACTCTGTGTATTCTTAAATGATAACATACGCTAACAAGCGTGATAAGCGGTGATTAATTGTATCTAATCTTAATATTTCCCGTACTGATGCTGAAGATTTCGAAGGTACTAATGCGATAAAAGATTTTAAGTTTCTGTTTCATTATTAGGCGTAGGTGTTACCGATGGAATAAAATCTTATTTTATCTTTTTGCTAGCGAAAATATTGTTTGCAGTTTGTCGTATAAATTTCCTTGTAAGTACTCTAGTACTATCAACGCGATAGATAAATGTATATTATCGATAACAAATATTTATCGAAGAATGTGTGATGCAGATATGAAGAAGTAACGATAGAAATATATAACAATTTTTTACTGAACTAATACAACGATATTGTAGAATATAAAATTAAACTAAAGTATCAATTGTGTTGAAACAAATACCCACCCTTTATTCTTCAAATAAAAGGTACGTAATGGATAGCCATAAATAAATATCGGGCTAAATTTAGAATTAAAGATTTTGAAATAGGTAGAAAATTTATTCAAAAAATCGAAATAACAAGAATTTCAAAAGAACCACGCGGTAGCGAGATAGTTGGCGGGTGTCCAATTCCTTAACAAATCAGAAACTGGTCACCGACTGCTATGCTCTTAATAATAGAATGACACCGACCAACCAAAAAAAGATAACATTTTTATCGAATTAATTAACTTGAATCAAACGAATTACATCGATTATAATTCTGAATTTTAATTGGTGCCGGGTAAAGAATGAGTTCATTTAGAGTCAGGGTAAGAATATGCACTTACACCCACGACAATAGCACCACCGATGAGAAAGTATCGCAAACAAACAAGCGTTCTTGCCATCACAAAATTGAGCGAATAAAGAAGAAATCACTTGAATAACATATAAATATAGGTGTAGTTAACGTAAACTAAAGAAAAGTGAGAAATATTCCTATTGGGTAGCTGTCACCACGGTGACCAAACGTAAACCTTATACCCAAAGCGTCATTACTTGTTATACTGAACTGCAAAGACAGCCGGCTGCCAGCTATTCCCCCTATCGATGCACTTTGTGCATTATTACTTCTAATCCACACATGCATTTACATCGCAATTAATTCCTTTCTGTCCTCTTTCTTTTTCGCATTTTTGTAATTCAATTGATTTAATTCCATTATGTTCAGAGATAGTATAGAATAAACCAATCGTTTCATGAGAGTTTGAGCACAGACGAGGCATACATGATAGTCAGATAGATCGCCTTATGCAGGTTCGTGTTACATGATCTGAAATACCGACACTGCTCAAAACCTCATTTATGCTACGTAGTGAATCTTATCTTTATATATATAAAGCGCAAAGACGTCCGCTTTTCAACTTCAGAACTCTAGGGTTAGAGATACGCTTTATATGTCGTTAGAAAGTTCTCAATGAGACAAGCTCAAAACCGTTGCATTTGTGCGTCTAAGTAATCGGAGTCAAAAGTTACAGAGGTTTCAATTTCTCTATAGAAAGTCTGTGGGTCGCACATTTTAGCGGCGGGGTCCCTAACACCCTAAGATGAAAGATCGGCGCGCGGAGTCATCGGGGTCCCTGAAACCCCAAGATGATATTTTGTCAGTGCGCAAAGAGAGTCCCCGGGGTCCCCAAAACCCCAAGATGCTATTTTGTCGGCGCACAAGGATAGTCACCGGGGTCCTCGAAACCCCAAGATGATATTTTGTCGGTGCGCAGTCACCTGGGTCCCCGAAACCCCAAGATGACATCAACTCGGTATGTAGAGTGCGCCACCGATGCATCGGGGTCCCTGACACCCCTAGATGAACTCAGGTCCGTATGAAGAGGGCACAACCGGTATAATAATCGCCCCTAATTTCTTTCTGGAGTTTATTTAATTTATTTAATTTATTTTTTCCGCTTATTAACAAGCTCATCAAAGAGGAATGAAATTTATGATTTTATCTCTCTTCTGGGCCTCTGCCGACCATCCTTTTATTTATTATTCTATCCTTCCTTATGAACCCCGCCTCACTTTTTCCAGTTATTTATTATTTTATCCTTCCTTACTAAACTCCACCCTTTTCAGTTATTAATTATTTCATCCTCCTTTATGGATCAAACCCACGTTCCTAATTATTTATCATTTTATTTCTCTTTATGGGCGCGGGGGAACCACCCTTCCGAGTTATTGTGTATCCTTTTCCTACTCTTTATGGACCAAAGTTTCCCTTTGCAGTTATTTATTATTTTCATTCTTTTCATGGACCTCGCAGGGACTACCCCCAAATCACCGTATCCTCGTTAGTTCAATAAAACGAATGAAACTGTTTTCTTTTGGAAGTTTTAATATTGTACTAACAAGAATTTTATTTTGAATTAGCGTATCTACACTCACCCCCTGTGGCTGGGGGGTTTAGAATACAGCCACGGTATCCCCTGCCTGTCGTAGGAGGCGACTAAAAGGGGGCAAATAACTACACTCTTTGCCTTTTCTTTCATTACTGGGGGACTTTTTCAAATTCTCGGGTGTGCGAAAAACTCATCAATCACTTAGTTTAAAGATAACTAATCTAGTGAACAGGGTACACAAACTATGTAGCTGAAAATTAACTAAGTATATCTTGACTCAAGTTCGTTGCTGCTTTGTGATTCATATAGTTCCTTTTTTAGTGTTGGGTGTAGCTGACATCATAAATGAGTGTTTGTAAATAATATCTTGCAATTCCTGCACATTTTGTTTCAAATTATTGATTATGGATGCAGAAAATGATAAGCCCTCTGATTTATCGCATGTTGTTTTGAAAGAAACTTCTAATAATGTAGCGCATGTATGTAATTTTAAAAATGTACATTGAGATGTCATTTTTATTATGGCCTAAAATAATTGTAGGATCGTAAGTCATTAAAGCAACCGAAACGTATATTACACTTTTCGGACGGTGATATGGAAGAATATTCTGAAGATGACCCGGATTCTTCAGAAGAGAATAAAATAACTCACAATCAGATCGACCCAGTTAAGTATTGTTTATTGAATAATTTTATTACGCTTTTACATTAGGAAAATGATTTTTAAATGGTCTACATAAAATTAAAAATTAACTTTTTAGCACACCCTTAACTGGTTACCTTGGACTTGGTATCAAACAACATTGGTTGGTGGCAAGATATTGACTGGTTGCGATTATGTAGGTGAATGGTTGGCAAATTTTTTTGGTATTACATCCCCAAAATATGAATTTGAAATTAATGAATTCCATAGACTTCAGGCTCTTGAAAATGAAATGTTACATAAACAGGATTTAGAAATGGGTGGATGGAATGCTCAGAATCAACATAATCTTATAAATGATAATAATGTGCAATAAGATTATAATTGTTGTTTTACATTATTTATTCACTCAGTTCATTTTACATTAATAAACAATATTGTATCATTCAATATTGAAATGTTGTACATAAAATAATAATTTTGCTATCTAAAGCGTTACAAGTATGTAAGCTTTGATATACATACTTGATAATATAAAAAATTTTTTAAATATGATCAAGTACATAGTACTTGATTAGTGCAAATGATATAAATATATGTGCAAGTATAAAAACGTTATCTTTATGAAAAACTTAACAATAATGTAAATAGTTTTATTTTGTTTTAAAGTGCACACCAATTGGTTTGAAGTATTCAGTTTCTCATCATGACCTTAATATTACTGTAAATTACTATTTATATAGAGAATGTACAATCTACAAAATTCTCTTGTTATAAAAAACTTAGTATTACAATATTTTTATACACAAATTTTGACATAAAAATCGTGTATAATTAATATATTGTAATGATTCAAAAACATGTAAGTAATTACTGAATACACTTGTATTTATAGAAAATTAATTTTCTGATTGTAATTGTCACCTTTCACATTGTATATTGTCATAAACAATATTTTTTGTATAAAGTTTTTATTAGACCTTGAAAATGGTTTTTTTTTTTAGTAATCATGTTAAGAATTACTGTAATATAAAATATTGAATTAGGAAGATCATTGAAATCGTATTTAAAATAGACGGGACAATGGCGTGTTAAATTACTCGGTGCCAGTAAGTGTTGTTTCAAAGGAACATTAGTAAGCTCTTTATGTAATTGTTTTTAGCACAGCATATACCTGCAGTCTTGCATAGCAGGAACTGATATTTTATACATTTATATGAAAATCTTTTATGTTTCTGGCACAAACCTGTGTAAAGCACTAGTAAGGACTAGTAAAGAGCTTTGAAGGCCCTGAGGTAAATGCCTTTGTAACCATGAACCTTTATATTGTTCTATGTGTGCTAACATCTTATTTGCTACGTCAGTTCTAAATGTAGGTGGTAGATTACATATTCCTAAATTGATTACTGCAAGACCCATATTGCTATTAGGATTAACACCGACACCGATCAATGTTCTGCCGATTTTACAAGCCGTCAACATTATATCAGCAGTCAATTGAAGTTCTTGTATTTCCATTGATCCAAATTTCGATGATAAATTAGCTTCGTATAACGAATGCGAAATACGTTTGACTTGTTTCGTCACTTTCTGTTAAAAGTAGTTAAAAAATATTATTTTGCATCTATGAGTTTATATTTTATCTTTCGTAAATTTATACTTACCGCAAACAAATCGGCTGAAAGATATTCTAAATTCACATTATCCGGATCTGTTAGTAATCTATACAACGTTGATCCGCGATTATCAGGAATTTGTTGTAAATCTTTTGCTGTTTGATTCTTACTCAAGGTAAGTACTAAAGTATCTAAACGACCCAACTCTAGTATGGCGTTACCGATTTTATATTCTGAATCTTGGAAAACATGAATATCAAGTAATTTTGTAATACATTTTTGCCTGCAAAATCATGTTTTTGTTCATTCATTTTTTTCTCGCGTCAGGGTTATAGATGATGTTTAAATTATTATAGTACCTTGATCCAAATGCCTCTGGCATATCGTAATTATCATCTACCCCCATATCTATTTCACTAATTGGATTCCATGCCAATCCAGCTGCAATTAAATATCCAATCCAAGCAAAAGGATGAGGAGTAAGATGATGACTTCCAGACCAATGTGCTACAACTATACCTACTGAATCCTGTTCGAGGGAAGTTTTTATAGCATTTTTTGTATTTGCATAAGTTGATGGCGGACATCCGGCTAAACTGTTATAACTCGCTGTTCCGGAACTCGGTAAGATATTACCACCTGCTATTTTAAATGCTTCCGTCCACTCGGAAAAATCATAATCTGCCTGTAACAGAAAATCATTAATTGAACTACAATTGCTTTCAATAAAATGAGTAAATGCGTATAATCGTATTCACCTGAAATCCATATTCAACAAGAATAATGTTATTGGGTATATTATGAAATTCTACTTTGGAATGTAAGCCATTGGAACATAACAATAAGGTTGTACTCGGACATAAATTTAAGATATGCCATAATTCTTGAAGGCAGGAGTATGATTTAAACACTTCCGACATATCTGTTTCTATGGTTTCATTTACAGACAAATTCAAATCAAAATTATCCGCCTGAACAAGTAAATTGGCTAATCTGGGTCCAACGTGAACGTAACTTAAACTTGGGAATACTGCCAATAGTTCTTGAAATATAGGCCACATTTGTGATAAATGATGTTGTCCTACATTAGAATCAACATCTAAAGTTGGAACCAAGTCTAAATGTCGATCTCTAAAATGTATAATAATGTATTAGATATTCATGATCCATATAGAGTACACAATTATTTACAAACCTGCAATAACGATCAAGAGTAACCATTTCTGACTTTGAATAACAAAGTTGCCAATCGCAATTTGGAGTAAGTCTTGAGTACAGATGTAAATATGATATTTTAAAAGACGACCATAAATCAATCATATGTAGCAAATATTCTAATGTAGGTATACGCCCTCTGGGTGAAATATCTAACAATATTCCACGGTGAGTAAATCTCGGCTCATCTTTTATAAAAATTGGTTCGATTTCACATGCTTCCGATCGATTATGAATTTTGCTTAATCGCAAAATTTGTACAAAAGTACAAACTGCATAATGTAATCCAGCTAAACTTCCGGCTCCAACTTTAATAGTATTTTGTGAAATATGTAACTGATATCCTTCAGGTTTATTGAATAATTTTTTATTTACTATGCATTCAATTCTGTTCTCATTAAGTAATTTTCCCGAACTGGGATGCACTTCACCGATTTTTACATCGTAACCCAACTCTAGTAAATGAGTTCTGCTAATTTCCCAAACGTCTAGTATTTTATGAATGGATTCGGTACCCTATGCAATAATATATGTACATAAATGAAATGATGTTTATTGTAATCATTCTTAAAAATAATCTTATACCTGTATTATAGATATAAATAGTTCTTTCCCGGCAATAAAGGGTGTAGAGACGTTTTTCAATTCAACAACCGTTTTCGGCTGCGGCCACAGTAAACTATAAATTCCATCTTTTTCTGTACTTTTAGTTGGACTATCTTTGCCCGATTCTCGTATAGGTACCTCATACACCGGATCTAATGATTTACCAGAATCTATAGAAAGCTGACTCATGTTACTTGAAATACTTTTTTGGCAAAAATTTCCTTCTGCAAATGTTGTAGTCGGACTATGTACCGCTTCACTCTCATTCGATACGAAGTTTGGTAAAAATCTTTGAAGGAAACAGTGCAAAGATTGCTTTCCTCTAGAAAGATCATATGGAGTTTTCCCTGCAAAAGTTCTGCAACAAATATTTCTTAACATATGATAAGATCTGTACTATTATTTCAATAGTGTACTATCTATATACCCTTTAGTTGCTCGTACAAGAGGATTTGCACCTGCTTGTAGCAATTCCTGACAAACAGCAACATCACCACGATCTACTGCATCGTGTAATGGTGTAGCACCACAGCCATTTATAGCATTTACATCTGCACCTCTTTCTGTATAAAAATGATATATTAAGTCACTTAACAGTATTCATCATGTAATATTTGAAATTTTACCAATTAAATATGTGACAATATCTTTGTTCCCATAACAGGCTGCCCAATGTAATGGTGTATTTTTACTACCATGGGAATCCCATGAATTTACATTTAGTCCTGCATCTAATAGTTGTATCACCCTGTCTATCCTTTAAATAATTATATATTATTAGAAAAGTAAATAAGTAATGGGTATACTTACATTATAAATAAGTATATATTCCATACTCAGATGCAGCAGTTGCCCTTAATAATTCTTCAATATAAGTGCGGCGTATTGCATCACTTGATGCAACATCTACAGCATTACATCCATTACTATTCTGAATAGCTGGATTAGCACCACAGCTTAACAATGTCCTTACAATATCTGGTTGATTTGCCTGTATTTTTATGCAACAAATTAAAAAAACAATATTTCATATGTATATTTGTATGTATTATAATATATACATATACAAATATATTATTACCTTTGAAGCATATGAAAGAAAGGTACCTTCTTCTAAAAGTGGTTGATTTAAAATCTTTTCTTTCGTTATACCTTCAGCTGAATTACCATTTTCACCTATTACAGAAGAATGACAGAAAATTTAATTAACTTTACTTTAAAACTTTTAATATTTCGAATATAATATGTTTCATGCAACTTGTTTTCACCAATCTTTTTATATTATTGCAAATAAAAACATTTTTAACATAACATTATGTGATAAATTTGAATATAAAATTTGTGCCACATACAGGCATCTAAAAGGGATCTAATTATATCTGTACGTCCATGTTCAATAGCTGTACGAATATTTTCGCAAATGTCTTGCATTTCTGCTTATTCTTATATCAAAATTGTATATTGCACAGCATTATAAATAAATTATTTAAATGTCATCTAAGAAGCGCTATCGCACACATGTCACTGAATTTCATGATACCAGTGACTATAGATGTAAAAGACTGGACATGCCTTTGTTAGCGAGGGGTTACGATTTAGGGGTTCCCAGACACCCCAGGATGACATCAGGTCGGTATGCTATCGTCTTTGGGCTTTATATACATATATAAGATTCTATTCTTCCTTATGAGCCTGGCCTCATTTTTTCCAGTTATTTATTATTTCACCCTTTCTTATAGACTAAAGTCCACCCTTTTCAGTTATTAATTATTTTATTCTCCTTTATGGAACAAATCCACGCTTCCTAATTATTTATTATTTTATTTCTCTTTATGGGCCTCGCGAGGTCCACCCTTCCCACTTTATCCTATTCCTACTCTTTATGGACCAAGGCTTCCCTTTGCAGTTATTTATTTTTTTCATTCTTTTCATGGAACTTGCAGGGACTACTCCCAAATCACTGTATCCTCGTATCCTTTGTATTCCTGCATCCCTTACATGCTTGTATCCCCCTACAGCTCGTTCCAAATTTGGTTGCTATTTTTACCGCCAGGGGACGCCGACCCGAAGTCGGAATTTTAGTTCACATTCTTGCCGCTAGAGGGCCAAAATTTCGGCATGATCTAGTTCCTTTTTTCGCCCCCAGAAGGCGCTGGTTCGAGGTCGAGATTTTAGTTCACATTTTACCCGCTAGAGGGCCAACATTTCGGCGTGATTTAGTTCCTTTTTCCGTCCCCAGGGGGCGCTGACTCGAGGTCGAGATTTTAGTTCGCATTTTCCCCGCTAGAGGGCCAAAATTTCGGTATGATTTAGTTCCTTTTTTCGCCCCCAGAGGGCGCTGTTTCGACGCGAAGAATTTAGTTCAAATTTTGTCCGCCAGGGAGCGCTGTTACAAACGCCGAAAACGTCATAAAGGGATATAAGACACCGCAGAATGTAGGGAATAGAGTGATTTGTGGGATGCATGGCTATAAGTGAAGCAGGCTTGTAAGAGGAACAGGCATTTAAGGGACAGGGAGACGTAAAGGATAGAAAGGTGTAAGGCATACGAGGATGTGAGGGACGCAGAGATGTAAGGATGTAGGGAAGTAAGGGATGCAAAGATGTAAGTAATACGGGGATATTAAGAAAGCAGATATGTAAGGAATGCAGTAATTTAGGGGATATAGAGATGTAAAGTATGCGGAAATGTGAGACATGCAAAGATAGTAAGAGATATAAAGATGTAAGTGATATAGGGACACAAAGAAAGTAGGGGTGTGAAGAATGCCCCTGAAGAGGAGGCCCCGCAAACCTGAAGCGGAGCCGCAGAGCCGCAGGGGGCCGGGGCTGGGGTCCCGGTCTCTACTGCACGCGGTCCGAGGAGTACCGGCATCGGGTGTGGCCCCCGATGTCGGTGGAGCTTGGCATATCTGGGAGGGTGAAAGGTCAGACCCTCCCCCGAGACAGGGGCGGGAAGGTCTCGGTGTGTTCGTCAGATGTCCCGGGGCCTTCCCTATAGCCCCAGTACAGGCCACCGTGGTGGTTTTAGTGGGTAAAAATCCCACACTACCTCCGGCCCCTCCCTAGGGGGGCTGGAGGTGTCTTTTTGAAGATTTCCACCACATAAAAAAAAAAAAAAAAAAAAAAAAAGGATATGAAGAATGCAGTGATGTAGGGGTTGAAGGGGTGTAAAGGATGCAGCGATATAGGGTTGCGCTCCTTGAGACCCTCAAAGACAACAAACATAATAATTAACTAAGAAGAGTGAGCCGATGCCCATGAAGACGGATAAAATGATAAATAACTTGAAAGGATGGCTCCCGCGAGGCCCATAAAGAGGGATAGAATAATAAATAAAAGGGGTGATGAATAAAATAGGAAGTATAATAACAAATATTAAATAAAGTAACAAATAAAAGGATAGTGAATCGTGATATAAAGGAGGAATAAAATCATCATGTTCACTCCTCTAATGAGTTTATTCAATAAGCTAAGAAGACAAATACCGCAAATTATATAAACGCAGAAAATAAAATAATGCTATACGTATGTTTAACAGGCAGATCCGCACCCCTCGGCTCTTGCTTTAAGACTGAGGTGGTTGTCGCTCCCCTCTGGGTCGAACGGTTGTCGACGGTACCGCAGCTAGCTATCTTTGACAATCGGCACCGACGAGAAATCATTAAAGACTGCCAACCCCTGTGTTAAAGTGCGGCACGCCAAATGGGCCCAGTCACCGACGAGAGACTGTTTCTCGTCACAGTCCCTCGTCGGTGGTTTCATATAGAGTTTAATTGTGTTAATAGTTTTAAGCGTTTCATGTAAAGCGTTTAACGGTATTATAGCTTTAAGTTATTATTTTATGTTACCTAAGAACCTGTATTAAACTGGCGCATGGACCTGAGTTAGGTTCAAAGTAGATTTGAAATAAACAAAAAGAAAATCTGTCGATAGGTTGTTGAGTTGTTTCAGCCACCTTTGTATAGATAGCACTGAGGTCGAATTTTGAAAATATTTAATTTATGGCGCTCTTTATAAAGGTTTACCAAACGATTACTTTAATAATTTTTCAGTCTTCTACTAATTTCGACTGATTGCTAAAAAGATAAAATCGAAAAGAATGAAAATTGTATCTTTTCAACTGTCGGTCATGCCAACTGTGCTCTGTATTTGCAGATCTGTTTTCACCTGGGGGTGTCCGGGACCCCCCAATATCAAAGAACAAAGCATATCCAGTTTTGCTGGATCTATATTCACTAATGATGCTGTATTATTGATGCAGTTTTCGGTTGAGCACAGTTGAGCATCACAAAAATATCGATGTGTCGAATGTGGCGAACATCGAATCATCGAAACTATTTATCGATCTTACATTTTCAAAATATTATTTTTTTTACAGTGTATGTTTAAATGATTAAAATTTTAATTTTAGTTTTGGGACATTTTATGCATATAAATATAATGAACTGGCAGTATTACGAGTAATAGTAATGTTATTTAATTCATAGCAATTTGAATTGACAAAATATACTCATAGTCAGCGCCATGTTATTCTATTTCTGCAATATAGCGTTGAAAATGTATTTAATATAATTATATCTTAAAAACAATATAATAAAATTAACTATAGTCTTAACGCACCAAATACTTTACAAAATAAACGAAAAAAGTAAGATTAAAATAAGGATGAAATGAAAAGTGAGAGAAAACGATAAACGTATCATGTTTTGTTGATGATTTCGTAAAATCGAAGTGTATATCGAGTCGAAAGTGCGTTCTGTTGCGTTTTCGAATAGTATTTTTTAGAAGCAGTAATGACTTCAGAATTAATTTTAGGTATACGTCTAGAACCTCAGACATTAACTACAATTAAATTAAATGATATTAATTTTAAAATAAAGGTTGGAGAACTGAAATATGAGACAGCTAAAAAAGTTAACCTAGCGAAGGAATTATTTGGTAAGATGACACTTCGTTTTCAGCTTCTGTTCTTTGTTTTAAATTCTTCCATTGATTATTTTATCTTCTTAATATACAAATAAGATATGATATAATAATAATATATTCTCTTTTTATATGAAATGTTATGTATAATGTCAATAAAAGCAATTGTTATATTACAAATACACTTGATTATATATTTGTACATGTATTTTATGGTTTCTTTTTTTTAGAACTGATTTATTGCGGCTCTGTGCTGGAGGATGATATGACCTTAGAATTTTATGGTATAAAAAGTGGTGCAATGGTACATGTGTTGAGAAAAAGAGAATCAGAGCTGATGTCATTACCAAAATACATATCTGAAGACAGTATTTTACAGCTTGCATCTACATTTAAATCATTTAAAGAAAATCCCAAACTTAGGAGTGCTTTAAATGTATATTATTTATTATGTTATATTTATATTTTATGAAAAGTACAATATCTAACAAAGTGTATTTATTTTAGCATTTGGGTGAAAGACCGGAAGTTATAAATAATATAATTTCATCTTCTCCTGGATTACATGAAGACACTGTAGCAATTGCCATCTTGCAGGATCCTGATTTAATGGCATATTTTACAGATGTAGATACTGTTCGAAGGTACATATCATTTATTATGCTTTTCAATATTTTGATTATTTAAAATTAATGTATATGTTAATTTGTTGAACAGATTTGCAGAAGCACATCCAGTTCTAGTAGAGGCAGCTCAAAATATAGCTGCTGCAGTTCATGCTGAAGTACATAATAATACAACTGCTGGCACTAACTCTTCACTGTCTACCTTGCAGCCAACTGCTTATTTATATAGTTTAGACAATTTGAGTGATGATGAAGAAATGGCTGGTGATTCATCTCAATCTTCAGATTCTACTCAGCCCTCAAATATATCTAATAATCCATCAAACTCTGCAATTACTGTTGCACAACTTGCTGCAGCAGTTTCCAGAGCAAGAGCCAGGAGCTTTCCTCTTTCCAATTCTCCCTCATCTACTTCAGCTGGTAGTACAAATTCTGGAGTAATAACTACAGAGATGTTTACACAAGCTATGCAACAAGCATCTGCAGCAACTCCGGGTTTAATAAATGACACAACGCTACCACCAATTTTACCACCCGTTTTGCCGCAATTCACAGATTTGCAGCGACAGTTAGCGCAGATGCATGAACTAGGATTACAAGATGACACAGTAAACATTCAGGCATTGCATTTCACAAACGGTGATGTTCAGGCAGCGATTGAACTTGTGTTCAATGGTTTTAGTAACAATTAAATTTACTAATTTAGTAGGTACAGTGAATTATTCAAAATTAATAGGAAATAACAAAAATATAAGTATTTGTGTCCTATTTTTACGAAATTAAACAAACTTCGTAAAACTTAAAAATGAGAAATGCTTCTTAAAACGTATAAAAATTACTTGAATTCTTGTTTTATATTTTTCCGTTTTAAAAGCATCTTCTGGAAACACATAATAAATCCGATTTCTTAAATATTTCATGTAAATTATATGTTACATTTAAAAAGTCATTTAAAATTATTTGTATACTTTTGATAATGTTATTAAAACATATATTTTATACAATTTTATTAATGTATATAAAACCAATATATATACATGAAAATAAGTAATAAAATTATGTATATAAATAAGAAAATTATAGATAGATGATTACATCAAATTCTTTCTTCGGTACATTTTCATTTAGTATAACAATCATATCAAATGTCAAGGAATTAAATATTGCTCCGTATGACACTGTAAGCAGTGACTACAGATACAAAAAGATTGAACATACCTTTGTTGTTGAGAGGTTATGCTTTTGGGGGGCTGAGACACCCCCAGATGAGGTTAGGTCTGCATGCAAAGAGCAGAGCCGGTATAACATTCGTGCCTGTTTTACCAGTCCCTCTTTTACCACGCCTCGCACTCAAAAATGAAAAGACACAATTTTGAATCTATTTGTTTAGAAGTCAGTCAAAATCAACATAAGATTGCATGATTTGCAATCACAACGCATGTTGTAAAAAGCAAAGAGCATTTTCTGGCGTTTGCGACAATGTTATAATGCATCCCTTGCATCCCTGTATTCCACGCAAGGGTTGTAAGGGATACGCAAAGGATGCAAGAGGTGCAAAGAATACGCAAGAGATGCAAGGAATGCAATAAATACAAGGGATGCAATGAATATGCAAGAGATGCAATAGATACAGGGATACTGGAATGGTCCCCCTGAGGCCCACAAAGAGGGCTAAAGTAATAAATAATAGGGATGGTGAGCCGAGGCCCACAAGAGGTTGAGAAAATGAGGCGACCTCACCCCTCGGCAGTCACTATAAGACTGAATGGTTGTCACCTTGGTCTAGGTCGAACGGCGGATAGCGGTGTCCAATCAGCCATAGCGTTCCACTTCACCGCCGCTGCCAGCTATCTTTATTCGAATCAGTGCCTGCAGATTTTTTTTATCGTAGGGAAATCTTACATAAGATTTATTCATATTACTACTGACTAAAACCTACGGCGACCAGCACTGGCCTTATAGGATGGGCTCAGGGACCTTATGTGCATTTCCCCAGAGCTCTTCATATCTGGTATAAAGATGCCGATCTCGCGGGAGGTCCAAACTGAGACCTCTTCCTGATGCCTATCCTGTGGCTAACCCCGGAGATCACTGCGGGTGTCGGCCTCTCCTCAGCCCGTGTCGAAGGACACCCGGAGCCCTCACTCTCGACGTAAGCGATTTTGTTAGTGAAGCCATCATATCTGGTGTTGATGGAAGGGCTGGGTCCGTGTTGGGGGTGATAGTTTTGGCATGAAACATTTTCACGGTCCGCGGCGACTATAGATCTAATAATTATCGTTGAAATATAGATATAGTAACGCTGAACTCAAGACACTAACTGATAATGGTTGGGTATAGTCATTGATATCGAAGCAATCTGCTGTTACCGTTAATATGTGTTAGACTGGTGCAGTACGAAGTTCTTCACTTTTGTATACCTTTACTTTTACCATCAGTCCTTTCTGATAGATCCCCCTCCCTAGAATGGCGCTTAGTAAGGGCTTTAGCACTTCCTTTGCCCAACACTTTTGTATAATACGATAGAACAGATGGCGCCGGTTTTCAAGGCACAAATTCAAGACCCCTTGAAAACAAGGCACGTTCAATCTTGTTGGATTTGTAGTCACTGGTATAAGAAAGTGTGTGAGCGCGATAACTCCGTGCGCCATGAATTTCAATTGCTGTGTACAGAGCTGCACACACAGTTGCGCATCGGTAGGGTGCAACTGTGTGCGCATCGCGTACACGCTAGCAGCAGGCAGGGCTGGTAAAGCGGAATCATGCGACGTTCTGTCAGTAGGAATCGGGATTTTGTGACGGTCGGACGCGTCGAGGAGTTAGCGAGTCTAAGAAATCCCACGAGTACGTATGACAGAAGCGGCACGTGATTGAGCATACTGATAAAAAACAGTGAATACGTCAAATAAGAGCGAGTTTTTATACAGTCCGAGTCCAGTGAGAAAAGAATATTAATTGCATCTTGTCCGGTCGTGGATAGAAGCCGAGAAGGCGCCGGCTCCGTTCCATGTTGCCCGAAATGCAGTCGGCTTCATTCACGAAAAGCATCGAATGTTAAACTCGTCGGATATATTCTGTGAACAGATGTAACAGCCCCAAGCGTGAATATTCATGGCGTGAGGTTATGGGGGGATTGGATACCTGACAGACTCTCTGTTCCATTCGTGCTCCCTTTTACGTGGCTGAGAAAGAAGGTGAAGGACGAAATGCATGCCTCCATTTCTCCAGTTACAACCGATTTCCCTTGAAAAACCGGTCTTTTACCCTCGTTCGTCTAATGAAAAGAAATGAAACGTTAGTTCTTCGTTTGAAGGGAGGACCGGTGCTCAGGGTGAGCCGGCTCCGTTTTTCATTCAATCATTCTTCTCGTTTGCCGTTAGATTTTCAAGGTTTTTTCCCCTTTAACATTCAATTAACTGGCCACTCTTCAAACACGCGATAATACGTTTGAACGCTTTAATTTTTGCAATTTAGTTTCATTCAACTGAATTAGTCGCCTCTGTTTTATAGGGTGTAATAGGGTGTGAAAGAAATAATAATAATACTCCGAGCTTTCTCTTATTGTTCTCTTGACGCATGGTCGTAGGACAATATTAAAAAAAGAAGATGAAAATTGTAAAAGTAATCCTTTTGTTCGTTCATGAACCAAAGGCACGATAGAACAATTTACTGGTGAGGAATTGGTGATTGTTAGGGCTTGCCAGTGATGTTTTACAACGCTCTTTTCATGAATGAACGGCGCTCGATCTACGCAAACTCCTTTTGACGCGTTTCAATTTTGGAAATTTCTTTTTTTCCAATGAGTAGATTAAAAATATTCAAATTAGTTATGAATCATTAAAATCAGGTGTCTTGATAATTAATAGGGTAGTCGCAATATTATTTACTCCGAAATCTGCTGCGATAATAGTGAGGATTACAGATTTTAAACAACGATATTCGAACAATAGATAATATTCTTTAGCTTGGTAATGATATATTTATCAATGTAAAAATAATAGAAAAATTACACACGTAACAATTCCAATAATTACATGTTCCTTATTCAAATTAACTCGAAGCAATTTTGAACTGTTTATTTAATTGTTAAAATATTTTTATCCTCGATAGATCGATCAATTTTTCCGATAACAAGTTTTAAAGTGTTTCTCGATAAATCATAGTTCGAAAGCAAAAAGGATTTACTTGAATTAATATCGAGAAATCACGGCATCTTATCTGAGCGTTTCAACCGTAACAAAGTTTTCGAGACAAGCCAGGGTAACTTCATTTTTACAACGTTACGAGAAACGATTAATTCGCTAACTAGATCATCTATGCATTAACCCGTCAGAAACAGTAATTATGTGTGGAGTGTTGTAAACAAGGGTAATTTCATAATTGGCAAGCCTACGCGACAGTTGTTAACTAATTGTAACTCGAGAATCAAGGGCATCGGGCGCCGATCCTCTTTGAGATCATCCGATTCTAGGAGATACTATGAACGTTAACATCCCTTTAATCTTATAATCGTTGACTCGAATTTTGGTGCAGTAAAATTAACTATAGGATACAAAGTATACAAAGCTCTTATAAATAATACCGTTTGATAATTTTGAGTGTAAGTTCTTCAAGTCCAAAAATCATTTTTCCTAAAAGACAACTTACACTCAAAAATTTCGAACCAGTTGTAAGTTATGCAGTGAGATATTAATACTTTCGATCGTACAACAGATTGTTAGCAGAGAGCTCCAATCCGAAGGTGAATCAATAAATCGGTGAATTCTCGACGAAAACGGGGGAATTAGCGGATTGTTTTTTGCTCGTCTGCGGTTGAGCATCTTCGATCTCCAAACAGTCGTCGCAGCGGACCAACATCCAGACTTTTGTCGAACTTGATCGTTGCTAGTTGCACGAAACGAACAGAACGGGCGAACGGTAGAATCTTATTAAAGAAGAATAAATAATAGAAAAAATGGCTCACGAGAACGGTCTGAACGGTGACACCGACTCCGAAACGGTGGAATTGAATCCATTGAGGAGAACCAGATTCCATGTGAATCGAGTGGACAGTCTGGAAGGTCGTGCCAGCCTTCTCGGCGAACAAGAGACCAAAAAATCCCTTAGGCACATGACCAGAGAGGCTCTACCCAGGCTGGACAATTACAGGAACATCATGAGTATTCAGGCTGCACATAGACCATCTTTGGACGAGCTTCACAATCCCACTCTGCTTAACAAGGTAAGAATGATGATACTTGACTATTAATAGGACCGTTATTCCTTTTGTTTTATAATGCGTCGCTAGTTGGGTTCATTATAGTCACCGCGACATGTGTTATGGGGTTATACGGTTCTTTTTTAAGTCCTGAACGAATATTTTTAAGCAGCTGCCCTTAGGATGCTTTCTGATTATTTTCAAATCGTTTTGATAAGATATTGAATACCTAATAATTGAAAGATAGGAATTTCATTTATATATCAGAGAATCTTTATTGATTAATAACTTTGATTTAATTTCCAATAAAATATTTTATCTTTCATTATTTACCACAATCTTGTATAAAAATTAATATAAGAATTCCTTATGCTTCGTTCGAAGTTTAATATAAATTCCAAGTAGAAAATTCCTACAATTTTTCCTTTAAAAATAGAATGTGGATTGAGAAGATTTTTCTTTTATTTGTGGGCCATTTTAAAGTGAACCTCAACTGAGTTAAGCAATTGCAAGATTATCTATTTTAAGACTGAATTAATGCTTGTTTAAGAGCTTGTAGGGTGGGACAAGTTAAATGAAAAAATCATACCGGAATGAACCGAACAAACCAGTAGTGTTTCTCCTAAGCCTCTTACTATCCGAATACCATTTGAATTCAAATAGTTGAATATTCAAATACATCAGTGGGATTTGGATTTTAACTCTGAATAGTC